TATCCTGGGTGACTAACTCTCCCTACTCTGGGTTATCCTGGGCGACTAACACCCCCTACCCTGGGTTATCCTGGGTGACTGACTCTCCCTACCCGGGGTTATCCTGGGTGACTGACACTCCCTACCCTGAGTTATCCTGGGTGACTAACCCTCCCTACCCTGGGTTATCCTGGGTGACTAACACTCAGTACCCTGGGTTATCATGGGTCACTAACACTCCCTACCCTGGGTTATCCTGGGTGACTAACACTCCCTACCCTGGGTAATCCTGGGTGACTAACCGTCCCTACCCTGGGTTATCCTGGGTGACAAACCCTCCTTACCCTGGGTTATCCTGGGGGCCTAACACTCCCTACCCTGTGTTATCCTGGGTGACTAACCCTCCCTGCCCTGGGTTATCCTGGTTGACTAACACTCCCTACCCTGGATTATCCTGGGTGACTAACCCTCCCTACCCTGGGTTTCCTGGGTGACTAACCCTCCCTACCCTGGGTTATCCTGGGTGACTAACACTCCCTACCCTGGGTCATCCTGGGTGACTAACACTCCATACCCTGGGTTATCCTGGGTGACTAACTCTCCCTACCCTGGGTTATCCTGGGTGACTAACCCTCCCTACCCTGGGTTATCCTGGGTGACTAACATTCCCTACCCTGGGTTATCCTGGGTGATTAACCCTCGTAAACCCTGGGTTATCCTGGGTGGCTAACACTCCCTACACTGGGTTATCCTGGGTGACTAACCCTCCCTACCCAGGGTTATCCTGGGTGACTAACCCTCCCTACCCTGGGTTATCCTGGGTGACTAACTCTCACTACCCTGGGTTATCCTGGGTGACTAACACTCCCTACCTTGGGTTATCCTGGGTGACTAACCCTACCTAGCTTGGGTTATCCTAGGCGACTCACCCTCCCTACCCTGGGTTATCCTGGGTGACTAACACTCCCTACCCTGGGTTATCCTGGGTGACTAACCCTACCTACCCTGGGTTTTCCTGGGTGACTAACACTCCCTACCATGGGTTATCCTGGGTGAGTAACACTCCCTACCCTGGGTTATCCTGGGTGACTATCACTCCCTACCCTGCGTTATCCTGGGTGACTAACTCTCCCTACCCTGGGTTATCCTGGATCACTAACACTCCATACCATGGGTTATCCAGGGTGACTAACACTCCCTACCCCGAGTTATCCTGGGTGACTAACACTCCCTACCCTGGGTTATCCTGGGTGACTAACACTCCCCACCATGGGTTATCCTGGGTGACTAACACTCCCTACCCCGAGTTATCCTGGGTGACTAACACTCCCTACTCTGAGTTATCCTGTGTGACTAACACTCCCTACCCTGGGTTATCCTTGGTGACTAACCCTCCCTACCCTGGGTTATCCTGGGTGAATAACCCTCCCTACCCTGAGTTATCATGGGTGACTAACCCTCCCTACCCTGGGTTATCCTGGGTGACTAACACTCCCTACCCTGGGTTATCATGGGTCACTAACACTCCCTACCCTGGGTTATCCTGGGTGACTAACACTCCCTACCCTGGGTAATCCTGGGTGACTAACCGTCCCTACCCTGGGTTATCCTGGGTGTCTAACCCTCCTTACCCTGGGTTATCCTGGGGGCCTTACACTCCCTACCCTGTGTTATCCTGGGTGACTAACCCTCCCTGCCCTGGGTTATCCTGGTTGACTAACACTCCCTACCCTGGATTATCCTGGGTGACTAACCCTCCATACCCTGGGTTTCCTGGGTGACTAACCCTCCCTAACCTGGGTTATCCTGGGTGACTAACACTCCCTACCCTGGGTTATCCTGGGTGACTAACACTCCATACCCTGGGTTTTCCTGGGTGACTAACTCTCCCTACCCTGGGTTATCTTGGGTGACTAACCCTCCCTACCCTGGGTTATCCTGGGTGACTAACATTCCCTACCCTGGGTTATCCTTGGTGATTAACCCTCGTAAACCCTGGTTTATCCTGGGTGGCTAACACTCCCTACACTGGGTTATCCTGGGTGACTAACCTCCCTACCCAGGGTTATCCTGGGTGACTAACCCTCCTTACCCTGGGTTATCCTGGGTGAATAACTCTCACTACCCTGGGTTATCCTGGGTGACTAACACTCCCTATCTTGGGTTGTCCTAGGTGACTAACCCTACCTAGCTTGGGTTATCCTAGGCGACTCACCCTCCCAACCCTGGGTTATCCTGGGTGACTAACACTCCCTACACTGGGTTATCCTGGGTGACTAACCCTCCCTACCCCGAGTTATCTTGGGTGACTAACACTCCCTGCCCTGGGTTATCCTTGGTGATTAACACTTTCTACCCTGGGTTATCCTGGGTGACTAACACTCCCTACCCTGGGTTATCCTGGGTGACTAACCCTCCCTACCCTGGGTTATCCTGGGTGACTAACACTCCCTACCCTGGGTTATCCTGGGTGACTAACACTGCCTACCCTGGGTTATCCTGGGTGGCTAACCCTCCCTACCCCGAGTTATCATGGATGACTAACCCTCCCTACCCAGGGTTATCCTGGGTGACTGACCCTCCCTACCCTGGGTTATCCTGGGTGACTAACCCTCACTACCCTGGGTTATCCTGGGTGACAAACACTCCCAACCCTGGGTTATCCTGGGTGACTAACACTCCCTACCCTGGGTTATCCTGGATGACTAACCCTACCTACCCTGGGTTATCCTCGGTGACTAACACTCAATACCCTGGGTTATCCTGGGTGACTAACACTCCCTACCCTGGGTTATCCTGGGTGACTAACCCTTCCTACCCTGGGTTATCCTGGGTGACTAACCCTCCCTACCCTGGGTTATCCTGGATGACTAACCCTACCTACCCTGGGTTATCCTGGGTGACTAACACTCCCTGCCCGGGGTTATCCTGGGTGACTAACACTCCCTACCCTGGATTATCCTGGGTGACTAACACTCCCTACCCTGCGTTATCCTGTGTGACTAACACTCCCTGCCCGGGGTTATCCTGGGTGACTAACACTCCCTACCCTGGATTATCCTGGGTGACTAACACTCCCTACCCTGCGTTATCCTGTGTGACTAACACTCCCTACCCTGGGTTATCCTGGGTGATTAACCCTCCCTACCCTTGGTTATCCTGGGTGACTAACATTCCCTACCCTGGGTTATCCTGGGTGACTAACACTCCCTACCCTGATTTATCCTGGGTGACTAACACTCCCTACCCTGGATTATCCAGGGTGACTAACACTCCCTACCCTGGGTTATCCTGGGTGACTAACACTCCCTACCCTGGGTTATCCTGGGTGATTAACCCTCCCTACCCTTGATTATCCTGGGTGACTAACATTCCCTACCCTGGTTATCCTGGGTGACTAACACTCCATACCTGGGTTATCCTGGGTGACTAACACTCCCTACCCTGGGTTATCCTGGGTGACTAACACTCCCTACCCTGGGTTATCCTGGGTGACTAACACTCCCTACCCTGGGTTATCCTGGGTGACTAACACTCCCTACCCTGGGTTATCCTGGGTGACTAACCCTCCCTACCCTGAGTTATCCTGGTGACTACACTCCCTATCTGGGTTATCCTGGGTGCTAACCTCCCTACCCTGGGTTATCCTGGGTGACTAACACTCCCTACCCTGGGTTATCCTGGGTGACTAACCCTCCCTACCCTGAGTTATCCTGGGTGACTAACACTCCCTACCCTGGGATATCCTGGGTGACTAAATCTCCCTACCCTGGGTTATCCTGGGTGACTAACACTCCCTACCCTGGGTTATCCTGAGTGACTAAATCTCCCTACCCTGGGTTATCCTCGGTGACTAACTCTCCCTACCCTGGGTTATCCTGGGTGACTAACTCTCCCTACCCTGGGTTATCCTGGGTGATTAAGTCTCCCTACCCTGGTTTATACTGGGTGACTAACTCTCCCTACCCTGGGTTTTCCTGGGTGACTAACTCTCCCTACCCTGGGTTATCCTGGGTGACTGACTCTCCCTACCCTATGTTATCCTGGGTGACTAAGTCTCCCTTCCCTGGTTTATCCTGGGTGACTAACTCTCCCTACCCTGGTTTATCCTGGGTGAGTAACTCTCCCTACCCTGGTTTATCCTGGTGACTAACCTCCCTACCCTGGTTTATCCTGGGTGACTAACTCTCCCTACCCTGGTTTATCCTGGGTGACTAACTCTCCCTACCCTGGTTTATCCTGGGTGACTAACTCTCCCTACCCTGGTTTATCCTTGGTGACTAACTCTCCCCTTGTTAAAAATCACAACTAATCATATCTTAACTAGGGAACAAACTGGACTAGACTCATCTACTTAAACTAGTCCCATAACTAGCAGGCTAATTCTCTAACCAACTAGCCCAGCCCGTACAGCTTGTTCCCTTGTTTATAAACGTTCTAGTGTGATTTCTAGCTAATCTCTAGCAACACTTTTATCAAGACACCACACACACCAGGTGTGTAGTAGACCGTACACACCAGGTGTGTAGTAGACCGTACACACCAGGTGTGTAGCAGACTGTACACACCAGGTGTGTAACAGACCATACACACCAGGTGTGTAGCAGACTGTACACACCAGGTGTGTAACAGACCGTACACACCAGGTGTCTGGCAGACACGTACAAACAATGTCTCTTATACAGAAGAGACTGCCATCGTTCAAACACTAGATCTCTGAACTGAAGGTGTCGTAATGTTGGCTGTAAATCGGTCCACGTTGGTTAAATATAAGTTTGTTGCCTTCACTGCAGCTAGTGTTAATGCTGTGAACATGACCTTAGTATTGCTAATTATATTACTAACTTCACTCGTGGGTCTTTACTGTTCTCACTTTACAACATTACAACCTCCTATATTACTCAGTTATTATTGATCAACATCCCACATCATCTCATGACTTTCAAACAGACACAAATGATCAAACTTGTTTTGAACTACGCCATTCTCAGTCGGTCTCAGACAGCATTGGTTTCTTGCAGGCGCTGAAGAAGGCTCACAAGAGAACTCGGAAACTCTGGATGGAAATGTATCCTGACGAACCTTTCGATGTGATTCTTGACGGATCACAACCAGTGTCACTTTCCCAGTACACGTCCCTTATAAGTTACGACCTGGAGGCTGCAGTGGGGAGGCAGAGTGCGTTCTACTATCAGGTAGGAAGGTAGAGTGTGTTCTGATATCAGGTAGGAAGGAAGAGTGTGTTCCAGTATCAGGCAGGAATGTAGAGTGTGTTCTAGTATCAGGTAGGAAGGTAGAGTGTGTTTTTCTAGTATCAGGTAGGAAGGTAGAGTGTGTTCTAATATCAGGTATGAAGGTAGAGTGTGTTCCACTAGTATCAGGTAGGAAGGTAGAGTGTGTTCTTCTAGTATCAGGTAGGAAGGTAGAGTGTGTCCAGTATCAGAGAGGAATATAGAGTGTGTTCTAGTATCAGGTAGAAAGGTAGAGTGTGTTCTTCTAGTATCAGGTAGGATAGGTAGAGTGTGTTTATATAAGATAGGAAGGTAGAGTGTGTTCCAGTTTATCAGAAGGAAGTAGAGTGTGTTCCATATCAGATAGAAAGGTAGAGTGTGTTCTAATATCAGTAGGAAGGTTAGAGTGTAGTTCCAGTATCAGATAGGAAGGTAGAGTGTGTGTTCCAGTATCAGATAGGAAGGTAGAGTGTGTTCTTCTAGTATCATGTAGGAAGGTAGAGTGTGTTCTAAATATCAGGTAGGAATGTAGAGTGTGTTCCAGTATCAGATAGAAGGTTGAGTGTGTTCTACTAGTATCAGGTAGGAAGGTTTGAGTGTGTTCCAGTATCAGGTAGGAAGGTAGTAAGTGTGTTCTACTAGTATCAGGTAGGAAGGTAGAGTGTGTTCTAACTAGTACAGGTAGGAAGGTAGAGTGTGTTCCGTACCAGATAGGAAGGTAGAGTGTGTTCTAATATCAGGTTAGGAATGTAAAGTTGTTCTAGTATCAGGTAGAGGGTAGAGTGTTTCTAATATCAGGTAGGAAGGTGAGTGTTTTCTAGTATCAGGTAGGAAGGTAGAGTATGTTTCTAATATCAGGTAGGAAGGTTAGAGTGTTTCTAGTATCAGGTTAGAAGGTAGAGTGTGTTCTTATACAGGGTAGGAAGGTAGAGTGGTGTTCCAGTATTTAGATAGGAAGGAGAGTGTTTAGTTCTTTAGTATCAGGTAGGAAGGTAGAGGTGTGTTCTAATATCAGGGTAGTAAGGTAGAGTGTTTCAGTATCAGTAGGAAGGTAGAGTGTGTTCCAGTATCAGGCAGGAATGTAGAGTGTGTTCTAGTATCAGGTAGAAAGGTAGAGTGTGTTCCAGTATCAGGCAGGAATGTAGAGTGTGTTCTAATATAAGATAGGAAGGTAGAGTGTGTTCCAGTATCAGGCAGGAATGTAGAGTGTGTTCTAGTATCAGGTAGAAAGGTAGAGTTTGTTCTTCTAGTATCAGGTAGGAGGGTAGAGTGTGTTCTAATATCAGATAGGAAGGTAGAGTGTGTTCCAGTATCAGATAGAAAGGTAGAGTGTGTTCTAATATCAGGTAGGAAGGTAGAGTGTGTTCCAGTATCAGATAGGAAGGTAGAGTGTGTTCCAGTATCAGATAGGAAGGTAGAGTGTGTTCTTCTAGTATCAGGTAGGAAGATAGAGTGTGTTCTAATATCAGGTAGGAAGGTAGTGTATGTTCCAGTATCAGATAGGAAGGTAGAGTGTGTTCTACTAGTATCAGGTAGGAAGGTAGAGTGTGTTCCAATATCAGGTAGGAAGGTAGAGTGTGTTCTACTAGTATCAGTTAGGAAGGTAGAGTGTGTTCTACTAGTATAAGATAGGAAGGTAGAGTGTGTTCTTCTAGTATCAGGTAGGAAGGTAGAGTGTGTTCTAATATCAGGTAGGAAGGTAGAGTGTGCTCTAGTATCAGGTAGGAAGGTAGAGTGTGTTCTAATATCAGGTAGGAAGGTAGAGTGTGTTCTAGTATCATGTAGGAAGGTAGAGTGTGTTCTAATATCAGGTAGGAAGGTAGAGTGTGTTCTAGTATCAGGTAGGAAGGTAGAGTGTGTTCTTCTAGTATCAGGTAGGAAGGTAGAGTGTGTTCCAGTATCAGATAGGAAGGTAGAGTGTGTTCTTCTAGTATCAGGTATGAAGGTAGAGTGTGTTCTAATATCAGGTAGGAAGGTAGAGTGTGCTCTAGTATCAGGTAGGAAGGTAGAGTGTGTTCTAATATCAGATAGGAAGGTAGAGTGTGTTCTAGTATCAGGTAGGAAGGTAGAGTGTGTTCTAATATCAGGTAGGAAGGTAGAGTGTGTTCTAGTATCAGGTAGGAAGGTAGAGTGTGTTCTAATATCAGGTAGGAAGGTAGAGTGTGTTCCAGTATCAGATAGGAAGGTAGAGTGTGTTCCAGTATCAGATAGGAAGGTAGAGTGTGTTCTTCTAGTGTCAGGTAGGAAGGTAGAGTGTGTTCTAATATCAGGTAGGAAGGTAGAGTGTGTTCCAGTATCAGGTAGGAAGGTAGAGTGTGTTCCAGTATCAGGTAGGAAGGTAGAGTGTGTTCCAGTATCAGGTAGGAAGGTAGAGTGTGCTCTACTAGTATCAGGTAGGAAGGTAGAGTGTGTTTTAGTGTCAGGTAGGAAGGTAGAGTGTGTTTTAGTGTCAGATAGGAAGGTAGAGTGTCTTTTAGTGTCAGGTAGGAAGGTAGATTGTGCTCTACTAGTATCAGGTAGGAAGGTAGAGTGTGTTCTACTAGTATCATGTAGGAAGGTAGAGTGTGTTTTAGTATCAGGTAGGAAGGTAGAGTGTGTTCCAGTATCAGGTAGGAAGGTAGAGTGTGTTCCAGTATCAGATAGGAAGGTAGAGTGTGGTCTACTACCACTAGGTGGTGTAGACTTGCTTGTCTACAACAACAGGGATCCCTGACTGGACAGACAGCGTTAACAACATAACATTCTCCAAGGCCAGGACAAAGTAATGTTCCATAACATTTTTTTCAATATGGAGTTGATCCTCCATTTCCCACTAAAACAGCACCAATTCGTTAAGGAATTGATTCATATAACATGGGAACAGTATTTAAAGGGTATTTTGAACAATTCTTGAAGCAAAATCTGCACTAACTCCTCCCAAGACGACGGTGCAGGAAATCCGTGACAGACTTGTTGTTCCTACTGACTTCACAGATGTTCCATAATATTTGATCCGGTGATTGTTGAGGGAAATCGAAATGTTCCATTTCACTTTTATGTTGTCCATGACAATTCTGAACAACTCTAGCGGTGTGCATTGGTGCGTTATCGTCTTGGAAGATAACTCTAAAGGTACCTGTAACACATTTAAACAGATAATTATGACTGGAGAGTTTAATCAGCAGGCGCTCATGCTATATTATCCAGCCCTGTATATTATGAGACTATAGATTAGTTAAGCCATATTACAGAACTATGATCAGCTGGCAGACAGCTGTGATCACCTGCCACACACCACCAGCTGACAGACAGCTGTCAACACCTGCCACACACCACCAGCTGACAGACAGCTGTCAACACCTGCCACACACCACCAGCTGGCAGACAGCTGTCAACATCTACCACACACCACCAGCTGGCAGACAGTTGTCAACACCTGCCACACACCACCAGCTGGCAGACAGTTGTCAACACCTGCCACACACCACCAGCTGGCAGACAGCTGTCAACACCTGCCACACACCACCAGCTGGCAGACAGTTGTCAACACCTGCCACACACCACCAGCTGGCAGACAGTTGTCAACACCTGCCACACACCACCAGCTGGCACACAATACTTTTAACTTTTATATCCTGCAGTAAATGAGGGAAGCAGCGAGTACCCTGATTAACAACGTTTCGCGCAGATTAATGAAAGCAGAAACTGCGTAAGCTTCAAGTTACATGTAGGGAGTTAAGATCAAAGACTATCGAGTACACAACGGGACATTAAGGCTACGTCTGACTTGTTCATCACAAGTCAACAATATCTCAGACACGAAATGTAGATTAAAATCTGTCTCTCAGTGTATATACACTGAGAGACATGGTTCTCAGTCTACTATATACATCTAGAGACATACGGTTCACAGTGTATATATCATGTTCCATATTGAAGTGAGTGTGCTTCTCTCATGTCACTATGCACTGTCAAGGTAGTTAACATGACTTATTATGTTTATTTGAAAGTTTAATGGTAAAGACTCTTGAAGGTAAAGACTCTTGAAGGTAAAGACTCTTGAAGGTAAAGGGTCTTGAAGGTAAAAGGGTCTTGAAGGTAAAGACTCTTGAAGGTAAAGACTCTTGAAGGTAAAGACTCTTGAAGGTAAAGGGTCTTGAAGGTAAAAGGGTCTTGAAGGTAAAGGGTCTTGAAGCTAAAGGGTCTTGAAGGTAAAGGGTCTTGAAGGTAAAGGGTCTTGAAGGTAAAGGGTATTGAAGGTAAAAGGGTCTTGAAGCTAAAGGGTCTTGAAGGTAAAGGGTCTTGAAGGTAAAAGGGTCTTGAAGGTAAAGGGTCTTGAAGCTAAAGGGTCTTGAAGGTAAAGGGTCTTGAAGGTAAAGGGTCTTGAAGGTAAAGGGTCTTGAAGCTAAAGGGTCTTGAAGGTAAAGGGTCTTGAAGGTAAAGGGTCTTGAAGGTAAAAGGGTCTTGAAGGTAAAAGGGTCTTGAAGGTAAAGACTCTTGAAGGTAAAGACTCTTGAAGGTAAAGGGTCTTGAAGGTAAAAGGGTCTTGAAGGTAAAGGGTCTTGAAGCTAAAGGGTCTTGAAGGTAAAGGGTCTTGAAGGTAAAGGGTCTTGAAGGTAAAGGGGTCTTGAAGCTAAAGGGTCTTGAAGGTAAAGGGTCTTGAAGGTAAAGGGTCTTGAAGGTAAAGGGTCTTGAAGGTAAAGGGTATTGAAGGTAAAAGGGTCTTGAAGCTAAAGGGTCTTGAAGGTAAAGGGTCTTGAAGGTAAAGGGTCTTGAAGCTAAAGGGTCTTGAAGGTAAAGGGTCTTGAAGGTAAAGGGGTCTTGAAGCTAAAGGGTCTTGAAGGTAAAGGGTCTTGAAGCTAAAGGGTCTTGAAGGTAAAGGGTCTTGAAGGTAAAGGGGTCTTGAAGCTAAAGGGTCTTGAAGGTAAAGGGTCTTAAAGGTAAAGGGTCTTGAAGGTAAAGGGGTCTTGAAGGTAAAGGGTCTT